CTTGTACACTGCTGCTCTTACCAATCGATAGCCTCGTTTGCAGGCACATTTGTAAGAGCCGTAGGTGTTGAGGCACTTCTGCTCACATAGATTAGTGCTCTCTGTGCACTCGTCCACGTCAAGGCAGTTCTTTCCGGTGCCATCATCTCGGAAACCCTTCNACACCGATACGAGCCGGGCACATTCTCGCAGGTTGAGGTTTGCGGAGAGCAAATGCCCGATTCGCTGTAGATGCTACACTCGTCGATGTCTAAAAGTGCGAAAAGTGGTAAGCCTCAAAATTGAACAAAAAACAAATAGCACCTACCAACACAGGTGTGTCCATCGGCGCTCAGCTTGTAGCCCTTATTGCAGCCGCAGCTGTAGGAGCCAAAGTTGTTGTTGCACAGCTGCGAACAGCCGCCATTGTTCAGCGAGCACTCGTTGACGTCCGCGCAGCGACCGGTAAAGTCCTTTTCAAAGCCCTTCTTGCACTGGCAGAAGAAAGAGCCACCGGTGTTCACGCAAAAGGAGGTGTCGTACGGACAGAGGTGCTCATGCGACTCCTTGCACTCGTCAATGTCTGCATTGATTTAGGTTTAAAAATCTAGTCTGAAAACAAAAAACTTTCTTCACTTACCAATGCACAGTGGACCATCGATTCGGTATCCGGTGGGGCACTCACAGCGGAAAGAGCCCGGTGTGTTGAAGCAGTTCTGCTGCGGCCCACAGGTGTGCAGACCTACCAGGCACTCATTCACGTCCTGACAGCTGTTGGTCAGTTCGTCTAGTCGATAGCCCGCCTGAGTGCAGATCTTCCGACAGGTGTACGAGCCGTAGGTGTTGATGCACTGCTCGTCGCGAAGACAGGCGGTCGGCACGCGACACTCGTCCGTGTCCACGCATCTCAGCAGTGTGTCGCTAAACTCAAAGCCTCGTTCGCAGTCGATGTGCTTGCAGTGCGTCCCATCGGCGGAGAGGTAGTGGCCCTCGGGGCAGGCAGTGATGCGCACTGAAACGATCGGTGGCGGGATTTTGTGCACCTCAATCACCTCTTGGTGGACGTGTTGCTGAATGATGGGCTCCTGTACGATTCGCTCCACCTTCTGCTGGACGA